AGGCAGCAACACTTACAAGTGGTAGCAGTAGACGGTAGACTCTCCAGATATGAATTTTTGAGGGTATTTATAGGATAGGGTTGTTAGTAGATTTGATAGAAGGTTCTAGAAGGAAAAGTAGTGAGAGAGAGGGTGAAGACACTAGTTTGTAGGAATACACAGAATTAGTTAGTACAGAATTCAAGAGAAAGCAATTAAGGGTAAAACGAGATATGGTTGAAGTAGGATTTCCAGGTAAAAGTGATTGAGAGAACAATAGAGTTTAGATTGAAAGGAAACCAAAGTATTTACAAGATAAGGAATTGAAAAGAATTGAAATAATATTTGAAGTGAAATAATATTTGAAATGAAATATTATTTGAAATGGAAAAATTAGAAAAAAATATTTACACACAAAAAAAACAATTAGAGTTATTTCGCCACAGTGTTTTTAAAGAACCGCAACTTTATTTTAATGCACTAAGTTAGTGTCACTAAGTTCTACCTCGTGACTTCGTTCATGATTGAAGTGTTTTCTGTTGAACTCTCGAGGAACTTCTTTCCATACCCTATGTAGAATGGTTTTTTTAAAATCTGTCATAACTTTAATTTTTTCCATCACCAAAGTATCAACCCCAAACAGTAAAGTCCAACGGACCTGCATCACGAGCCTTTGGTATCCATTTGCTTGGTTGCCGTAGAAATATGGTATGGTGCACAATCATGATGGAAAACAAACTCATTTGGGTACAGATGACGGGCATCTCCGAACAAAAAAATCTTCAAAACATTTTCAGTAAAATAATTTGAGTTTATTATTATTAAGAAAATTAAGCGAGTTTTGCCATTATAAGAGACGCTCGTCCATTGGAGTAATTTTTCTTTCCTATTAAAAGTTTCAAATTGTTGACTGTTCTTTCTGGCCTTCATCTTGACAGTGACTGTATTACTGATGTGATAATGATATGATCTATTGGTGGGTTCATTAAGGATCTGTTAGCTAGGCTGATGTAATAATTGCATTATTGGGTTTCTTTCCAGGTTTGCTGTTTCTGTTTTTCCGACCCTTTTCGAAGTATTGTTTGGTTCTGTAGATTCGTTCTATTGATAACTTTATTGTCACGGTTATTATTATTTCCATCACATTTGTTGAATGAATAGACATAAACGAGAGGCCTGGTCTAGAGTAGGGGGTCGGCAATGTCTTGACTCTAAATTTTGATTAGTTATTTGGCTTCTTAGTTTGAAGATAGTCACCCCCTTAAAGGCTATTTTCTTATTTGGTCATTCCGGAAGATTGTTATCGAAAATTAGTGCCTCATGTTTAGACATCCCTGTTAGAGCCGTCTACTTATTGTGCGACATTAAAAGGCATTCTTCTAAGCTACTATTTAGACTCGTAAATTTCGAACTCCACAAATCTTTGCTTTTTAAATATAGTAACTGCATTGCAACCAGCATTGATATTAAATGAAATAAAATTTAGTCCTTTGTTGTTTGTTTTGAGAGGATTCGCGATGAAATCTATTTGGAACTGATAAAATCGTTCAGTAAAGATATTGTTTTGATCGTTCTTGTGAAGTAACCATTAGTGTCAACAGAAGCACTGTTTCAATCCCGATGATTCCTCAAGGTTTGGAAATGTAGTAGTGTGCCCATATTCATATCTTCTACCAAAAGAAGGAATTTCTTTCCAAAACCAAGTACTTCTTTCAGTATTAAAAATGCATTATAACGTTTGTCATAAAGTGCAAGTCCCTTGTTATAGGTATACGGGTGCGCTGCGTGTCTGTCCGTTCTGTTTTATAGGTATAATTTTTTTTTGGAATTTGAAGATCCTCAATTGTCTCATGAAAGAGTCGCATTTACCGACCACTGATCTAGAGGTTTAGACAATTATTTAACATTCGAGAGGATACCGGTTCGCTTCTGGATCCATCTGTCCTGATCCTTCAGGTTCTTCTGTTATTTCTTTGATTCATGTAGGCAAATACTGGGACAGTAATATTCCACAGACAATCTTTCACACGCTGTTGTCTTCGTTTCGTTCGTCTTATCGTTCTCACCTCGATTACCACCTACCCATTCCAATTATTTCCTAAAGGAGACCGAAAATGATCTTTCACCCTATTCACTGCCCGCTTACCGGCATTAGGAGCTGGTGAAAATAAAATGCTCAAAAGTTTGTTTTTAATACAATTAGCTGGGGTTTTTTGTTTTAGAGCTGTTACGCATTTAACGATGGTTCATCAGCCCTGCACCGTCGAAAGGCTTAAACGTTATCTTTCAATAGTCAGAGAAATTTTTAGGACTTTATTATCGACTCAAAAGTGAAAAATGTAAAGTGGACGGAAAATAATCGTTAAAAAGCCTTTCAGTACCGCAAATTAATTCACTTGTTTTTGTAGTTTGAAATACATTTTAACTGAAACTGGTGATTAATCAAGAAATTCAATTATCTATCATTGTTTATCTAAGGACTTTTAACATATATACGTATACCTAAGTCCATTTTAGCAGCATTTGGGGTTAAAAATGACAAAAATGAAAACATCACAGTTTGAAAATTTAGATCTAAAATAATCAATATCAGTGTATAGGTAGTTTATCAAAAAGCCTGTTTTAATTTTTTAGTTTACAGAAAAATCGCATGCTTTTTAAGTGATATTTGGAGAAAATTGGATAGGGCCATTTTTGTTGACAACGAAATTTACTACAAAAGAGAATGGGAAGGCGTATACGTAAGGCTAACAGTTTAAACAATAGAGCGATCTTAAATTTAATGCCCGAATCGTTCCTTTTTTGATTAAAATGCTCTTACGAGCCCTTTTTGTTCATTTTCCTTCAGAAAACTAAATTACTAGAATGGATACGACCATTTTTCTAGACCATGAATTTTTCTATATAAAGTACCTATGGAATAGCATGCTTCTTCTAATTAAAATTATAATCAGATTTTTATCACTTTCGATGGATTATTATTTTTAGGTATACAGGGTTTAGCAAAGAAGTACGTCGTTAGGGCTTTAATAAATATTTAACTAATAGTCGGAATTTAATTTTGAAAGTTTGGAATTTTAAATTGCAAAAATCTCGATTCTGTTTTTCTAAATTTATCTCCTGCTAGAATATTTTTCGTTAAACAAACGACATGTTCGAGCAAGAATTCTATCACATTTTCCAGGTACCTATGTAAAATAAATCTAAAATTTCAGCATTTGTACTATTTCCGACCTCATTTTCCATTTTATCTGACCCTTAGAAACGTAAGTTCAAACCACGGTTAATAGATACTAAATAATGTCAAAACCTATGACAATTGAATTCGAAAAAATCATAATTTACAAAAAACAGTGCTATTTTCTTTAGAATTAATTTCTTTAATTGACGTTATACACTACGGATAACCTGAAAATAATCGCCGGGAATCGAACCCATTACTAGTAATGATTTTTTGTTATTTTTTTCCTTGTAGCTTAGTGGTAATGTACTGGTGCGTAAAACAAGGGGCCAGGGTTCGATTCCCGGCGAGAGAGTGTTAGAAGCAACTTTTTTTTTAATTAATTTGAGGTTATTTATAGTAGGTTAATTCAAAAAATTAATTCATAGTAAAAATTTGGTCAAACACAGTGCGTTATTATTGACGGTACAAAATTATCTTTAGAACCTTGTGTAAAAAAAATATAATAACAAAATTAATGCCTACTTACTTCCGGTTGTGAAACTTTTATGAAATTNTGGTCGAAATTGGCAGGCTGCAGATGGAATAGGGATGATGACAGTAACCAAGAATCACTAAAATTATGATGTAAATTAATAATATAGAACTTAAGTATTCTAAAAAACAATATTTGTTTTTTATTACAACTGCGCTTAAGTTAATTTTAGTAAAAATAAATGTACAAAACCTGACTATCTGCCATATTAGATGAAACGCCAATAGGAGGCGCGTGACGTCACGCTTTCGTAAACATTCTAACGTTCTGTTTAACGGTCGAACTTGTTAGCTTGTTTTGCTCATTTAGATACTATTTGCTCTGTGGCGAAATAACTCTTATTGTTTTTTTTGTATGTAGATAAATGTTTTTTCTAGTTTTTCTATTTCAAATATTTCATTTCAAACTCTATTGAAAATTTGGTCAAACACAGTGCGTTATTATTGACGGTACAAAATTATCTTTAGAACCTTGTGTAAAAAAAATATAATAACAAAATTAATGCCTACTTACTTCCGGTTGTGAAACTTTTATGAAATTATTACGAATGCCAAATTTCAAAATGAAATTTCGACTATTATTCCATAATATTCTAACGAAGGACTATCTTGGAAAACCCTGTATAGGTATATTGAAATCCTATTCAAGTCGGTTTATAATTTTCGCAAAATAAATTCATCAAAAACCGATTAATTTGATTAAAACCTCTAATTGTATTCTTTGCGACCGTTTTCCAAGTGTTTCAAATGCATCTGAAATATACCTATCGTTTTCCACAATCGTTCTCTGCACTTACAAGAATTAAAGCAACAAAAACGTGGAATACAAAGTACCCAATCCACTAGATTGATTTTTAAATAAAACATAAGTCGAAAAAATATTAGGATAGACGATAAAAAACGAGATCTTTTAACTCTACATATATTAAAGGAAGCATAATAGATAATGCTTATGAATAAATAAAGTAGAAAAGTTAATCATCGAAAAATTCCGTTAAGTTTACCGTGAAAATTTGCTAATAAAAATGGTGTAAGATGAGTCTCCATAAGGCTAGGTGGTAAATATTCCTTTTCAAAAACAAGAATATTTAAATTTTAACTACCTTTATAAGTCTTTTTATTTCCACTGTCAATGGAAATGTTTTGACGAATTATAAGTATAATATTTATTGTCACTTCACCTGAAAATCTAATAATGTTGTGTAGCATTATAAAAACGAGTTTGTAGTAGGTAAATGGTTATAAATAAACATGTTGCCTTTTTGTTGGGAGAAAATAGAATTTAAATTATGTTTACTTTTTGCAGCAAGCAGCGACGGAGTTGATCTGCAAGGTCCAATTTTCATCCAAGAACCATCGCATAGAGTCGAATTCAGCAATATTTCTGGAGGAAAAATTGACTGCACAGGTCACGGGAGTCCAACCCCCGAAATCGATTGGGTTTTAGCCGACGGATCTCCAGTTCACCAGGTTAACTTTTCATTCATATTTTAAGATCCACATGTATTACCTCTTTGAAATATTTATTCTTGAAATACTCAAAAATTCAAATTAGGTGCTCGGGGAAATTTTTCGTATTATTAACTTTTACCGAATTCCGAAAAGAAAGAATAGAATTGGACGCTCATTTTAAGAAAGTAATTTATAAGCCAGTAAACTGTGCATTTGGTATTGTAAAAGTAAAATAACAAAATATTAAACTTTAAGATAATTAATTTATTACAAATGATCCGGTTGATTGTGATTTTTGTAGGTAACTACGTTGATAATTAAAAACTGCTGTAACCACAGTTTGTATTTTCACAAGGTCTTTTTTTATTCAATGCAGATCCCAGAATTAAGGATAATTTACTCGAACGGGTCGCTGGTTTTTCCAGCTTTTCCGCAAGAAAAGTTCCGCCATGATATACACACTAATTTGTACAAGTGCAGATTGAGAAGTAACTTGGGAAGTGTATTAAGTAGGGATGTTCATGTAAAGGCGGGTAAGTTTCAATACAAATATAGAAAACAGCGTAATTTTATTGCTTATTAAAAAATTAATTTAAACTGTATCTTAGGCTTACAACCTGTAATCACTAAAATTGAAACATTGTTTGATGTGTTTGTTGTAATCTGTTGGCGATGTATATGGCGGTATCCCGCCGAAGGCTCTTTTGGTTAATTTTCTTCGAATTAATAGACTGCTTTTCTTAATTGCACTTTATTTACACTATTTACACTTTATTTCTTGATTTTGATATATAAATTGATTTGAATATAAATTGACTTGTTGAAACTGAATTGTAATTGTTTTGTTATTTGTTTTAATATGAATTTGGTTATGAATTGTATAGTTGAATATTTTGGTTTTGTTTTAATTTGAATTTGGTTTTAACTTGCAATTGAATTGAATATGAATATAATAATGAATGAATATAATAATAAATACGTTGGTTTTAAATTGTAATATATTCATTCATTATTATA